CCACCCAGCTTCCTGATAATGCACACACTGGGAGGCAGCAGGTGATGGCCCAAGTACTTGGGACTAACATTCCTGCTACCCACCTGGGAGACCCAGATAGAATTCCTGGCTCCTGGCTTTGGCCTGGCCCATCCTTAGCTGTTGCAAACATCTGGGGAATTAACTTTTCTCTCCCTCCCCACCCCCTTCTCTTTCTGTAACTCTGACTTTCAAATAAATAAATAAACATTTAAAAAATAATTATCTGACACTTCAAATTTACAATGAAGCATCACAAGCAGAAGTCATCAGAACAGGAAAAAATTAACTAAGTAAGCTCAGGTAAAAATCCGTCATGCTACCTTTTAACAGCAGGTTTTTTGTTGGAAGATTTATTTATTTATTCATTTATTTGAAAGTCAGAGTTATAAAAGAAGGGGGGAGGTGGGGGAGGGGGAGGGGGAGAGGGAGGGGGAGAGGGTGAGAAAGATATTGATCCTCCATCCATTGGTTCATTTCCCAAATGGCTGCAATAGCCAGGACTGGGTCAGGCCAAAGCCAGAAGCTTCTTCACAGTCTCCCACATGGGTGGCAGGGGCCCAACACTTGGGCCATCTTCTTCTGCTTTTCCAGGCATGTCAGCAGGAAGCTGGATCGAAAATGGAGCAGCTGGGACACAAACTGGTACCCATATGGGACGCCAGCATTGCAGGCGGCAGCTTTTCCCACGCCACACCAACCCCTAACAGTTTTTATCCCCAGCAGGAAGAATCATAGGTAAATACCCTGACAAATGATATGACAGTAATATTAGCTAACAATCTAAGAAAAAAAAAAAACAACCTGGAAAAGATGAAGCCAGAAAGATAAGAATATTAAAAATGAGAAGAAAACTGATGAAGAATTTTGTGTATTTTTGAATTAACTCTCTTTTTAGTGTGGAAGTCATTCATTGACCTACAATTTTAGTATAAAAATTCAGTAAAAATTTTAGTATAAAAATTGCTCTTCTTCGCAAAGAGATTAACACTTGATTCTTTCATGTAAGAAATAACAGTTTCTATTATAACATAAATTGTTATCTGTAAACTTATTTTCATAATTCTAGTTTCATTTTTCCAACTTAAAGTACCAATATAATCTTTTATTTATTATGAAATTTTGGTTCTCATTTTAAATAGTGATCTATTATCCTGGGATGATAATAAAGAACTCTTGAACTAAAATTGTGGCCTACCTTAAAATAGAGTTTCAAAAACATTTATATAAATTTGTGGAAACATGAATTTAACAAAAAGGTTTGACATTACCCTAATCTTTAAAGCTACCAGGAGGGCCGGTGCCATGGCTCACTTCTGCCTGTGGTGCTGGCACACCGGGTTCTAGTCCTGGTTGGGGCGCCAGATTCTGTCCCGGTTGCCCCTCTTCCAGTCCAGCTCTCTGCTGTGGCCGGGGAGTGCAGTGGAGGATGGCCCAGGTCCTTGGGCCCTGCACTCACATGGGAGACCAGGAGAAGCACCTGGCTCCTGGCTTTGTATCGTTGCAGCACCGGCCGTAGCAGCCATTTGGGGGGTGAACCAATGGAAAAGGAAGACCTTTCTCTCTGTCTCTCTCTCACTGTCTAACTCTGCCTGTCAAAAAATAAATAAATAAATAAAGCTACCAGGAGTTAATATATACCCTCACAAATTATTCCTTGATATCATCAGTGATAAAACACTTGATTAGCTTGAACTTGGGTCAGATCAAATACAGTTTGTACTTCAGTTTAATAATGTTTTTACAGGATTATTTCATCACAGATATTTTTATGGAATGGATTTAGAATAATCACTATCATATCAAAAGAACATTTTTAGAGTAAAAAAGATTAAAGAGAGCTATATAACAATTAAGACAATATCATCATGATACTCTGTTAAAACCTTTTATTTATTTGAGAGTCAGAGATAGAGAAAGACAGATAGACAGTTCCTATCTGCTGGTTCACTCCCCAGATATCCACAACGACTGGGGCTGGAGCTGCGAGCTGGGAACTCAATCTATATCTCCCACGTAGATGGCAGGAACCCAACCACTTCATCACTGTTGCTTCCCACGGATGGGAAGCTGAAGTCAGGAGCGCAGCTAAAATTGAACCCAGGTACTCTGATGTGGGACACAGGCTTCTTAACTGTTATCTTAAGCATTAGGCTGAATATTGACTCTTTATTATTACTATCATTGGTCTGACTGAAAATTGAGATAATAAATCGATTCAGAATTAAATGGTTTACATAGCAGTTGAATGAACATGTTCACCTGTATGAGACTATGTATACTTCATACTCCAAAAGGGTTGTTCACAACGCATGTACCCTTTCTTTCTATTAAGCAAGATCTATTTACTCTGGCAAGAGGAAAAGCGTAGAGATAAAAAACAGAGCACTAGCTCATGGAGAGAAAACTGGAAACTGGGAAAGTGGGCCTATAATATGACTAGAACTACAAGGTGTAGGCATACTTGGATATGTCTGCAGCTTCTATCAGCATTCATAGGTGTACACTAATCCACTGGTGTACAGTGGGTGATAAAGCTGCATGCCTGTGAAGGACAGTGAGCAATAATGGCTTGGCAGAGATGACTGCAGAGTAGATTAATGTTTTGTCAGCTCAGCGAATTATCATTTCCATGTTTGGACTACTCAGACCCTCCCAGATGCCACAGCTAAAAACAATCTCCCCTCAAAATGATATGAGTTCCATATCTCCGTTCAGTTACTGTTCTCTATTCTGATCATTATTGAGTTATAGGTCTTAATTCTACAAACAGGTCGAAAGTTTCTTGAACCTTCTTCATAGCTCTTACAGCACGTGGCTTAGGGCTCACTGAAATTCAATGAACACATTACTGACCACCACTCTGACACAGGTCAAAAACACCATATAATGGAAGCAAAGAATTGGTATGCACAGACTATAGATAATAAAGAATATGGCAGGTTTTTTTTTTTAAAGCAATGGCATACATGGCCTAGATTGCACTCCTTTTTATAACTTTAATCGCAACTATTATTTCTGTTGATAACTGATGCTTGCTGGTGTGCCCTACAAGATGAATGCACAGCCAGAAATCTTTACATGCATTCAAAGGTGGTACTTTGATCTACTGTAGCAACCACTCTTTTAAGGAGATCATCATTGTCTCTTGGCTACCTGTCTTTGGTCCAAAGTCACTGCTCAAACAGCTCATTTCCAATGGTCTCACAGTGGGTTGGCCTGGGCCTACTGCTTGTTGTTAGATCTCATATACCATTTGAAGAATGTACCCCCCCCCCCACCCCAGAACAAGCTAAAAGCTGTTTTTATTGCCTTTCATTAAGGCCGCCCACACAATGGCTGCTAATACTATTGAGCCTATCTACCCTGTGACTTTTTTGTTAGCCAGATCTTTGTGTTACTTTATGTGTGTTAAGTATCTAAGGTCAGGGCAATGAAACTGATCTTAAATTTAGAAGCTGGTATCTTAGAATTCTTAGAAAATGTGTGCTGAAGAAGGTAGGTTATCACTGCTGTTTTCATGCTTCTGATTAAACCTGAAGGCTGAAGCTATCTATGCTGGTACCTCTTGCTCCTGCACTACTGTTTTTCTTTTTTTTAAAGATTTATTTATTTATTTGAAAGAGTTACACAGAGAGAGGAGAGGCAGAGAGAGGTCTTCCATCCGATGGTTCACCCCCCAATTGGCTATGTCACAGCACTGGCACCTTCAGTGGCTTATTTTTTAGATCCACCCAAAGATAGCCAAGTAGAGAAACTAATTGTGAAATTTTGCATGGCCTATATGAGTTGTAGGCAGCATTTTTTCCAAACATTTTTGGACAGAGACCCATAGTAGAAATGTTATGTCCTAACCCAGTGTCCACACACATACCATACAGTATGTAATTGAAGCAAAAGTGTGTCAAAAACTACTTTATTGCAGTAGTGGAAGGTACTAAATTTCTATTCTCTCCTATTCATATAAATTTATATAAATGCTTCTTATGGCATCAAATATTGGTGGTGATTTCACCACCAATGCATTACAGCCTGGTATTTGAAAAACATTGGTGGGGCCGGCGCTGTGGCTTACTGGGTTAACGCCCTGGCCTGAAGTGCTGGCATCCCATATGGGCGCCGGTTCTAGTCCTGGCTACTCCTCTTCCAATACATCTCTTTGCTATGGCCTGGGATATCAGTAAAAGATGGAACAAGCCCTTGGGCCCCTCTACCTGCGTGGGAGACCCAGAGAAAGCTCCTGACTCCTGGCTTCAAATTGGCCCAGCTCTGGCCATTGAGGCCATCTGGGGAGGGAACCAGCAGATGGAAGACCTCTCTCTGCCTCTGCCTCTCTGTAACTCTGCCTTTCAAATCGTTTTTTTAAAAATATGAACCACTGAAAAGATTAATTTTAAGCTTTCTTGACCAGCATAAGGTAATTTTAACAGTACTTTTGAAGTGGCCTTGGTGTATGTGTGACCAAGGCCTCCAAGTATGATATTTCTTCTTGAAAAGCTTTCATTCTCCCAATGAGTTATTCAGAATATAAAATCACTCCCTCAATACTGACTACCACTTATCCTTGTATTTCTGACTGTTCCTGGAAGTTGGCGATCACAGTAACCAATACTGAACCTTTCACACAACACTCTTGTATGAACCACAGAAGAGTATTTACTTCAAATCACTTTTCTTTTTTCATCTGACTTATATTTAGAAACAGCACAAGTAACAGGTTTTCTACACAGCCTTTGGGAGCAAGATTTCCAATACTGATTATACCTTAACATACAAGAAATACATATCAAGAAATTTGAAAAGATTCACACAGAAGAAACATTTCTTGGTTGCAAAGCAAATCATGACAATAAATATAGTATATTCAATTTCTTAAGACTGTGACTTTGCAATCTCAGAAATAGCCTAATCATGTAGATCCCACCTTTATCACAATTTACAAAAACTTAATAAAGAAGGAGAAAGTATATATATATATATACCTTCACTGTCCTTGAATTTCTTAATTGCCACAATTTCATGTGTTTCCTGCAAAGGAAAAGAAACAGAAGAAGAGTCATTCTCTAATGTTTTTCCAAGTGGGGATCCCAATTGCCTGGGAGGTATATTCTAAGACAAACTAGTAAGAACCTAGAATACAAATAAAAGATCAACCTCCTCCCCAGCCTCTCATTTCTTGTTCAAAAATTTGCATTCTTACCATCCTGCAGACATTGTTAAGGAAGGAAAAGGGAAGAGGGTGGAGGCAAAAAGTAGAAATTACAACAGAGTATGCATGACACACATGTTCATTGGGCTTCGAAGACGAAGAAAGGGCTTCTGGAACACTTTGTTGCTGGTGGCAGAATCTTTTCCAGCTTCACTTGTCTTTTCCTAACGAACACTACCTAGTAGTTCACCCTACTGATATTCATGGTTATTGCCAAATCCAAAGTGAGATAAACATTCTGTCACCAATAATCACCTTCCTCCTGCCTTTATCTCATCTGAATTAACAAAAATAGTTCGGGAGCAGAATTCTACTTTAAACGAGAATGACATTTATTTTTCTTTTCTTGGTTGGGAGAAGCAAATAAGGGCAGGAAAGGAAATGGAAATGCTACAAATTAACTATTACTAGGCTGAATAAGTTATATCTAGTACTGCTCTATAAAATGAATAAAAATGTTTTGGGAGTAAGTAATTATTATAGCATCTTCAAAGCTAAGACATCAGAAGGCAAAGCTTTAAAGAACTCAGGCGGCTTTCTTTCTTCTTTTCTCTTTTTTTACTCTAAGTAGGTATACTTTCAGATTCAATCTTTAAATAAAACATTGTCCCTGCATCAAAACAGACTTTAAAACTGCACACAACACCAGCCAATAAGCAACAAGGTATATATCATTAACTTACTTAGAGCATGAGCTCTTCTCCCAAGCCCTTTCAAAAGCAAAGGGAATCATGGAAGGAAGGGAGCACGAAAGGGAGGGAGGTGGAGGAGCAAGGAGGGGGCGAGAGACACCATTCAATCAATGTGTGTGTGTGTGTGTGTGTGTGTGTGTTAAAGATGTACTTATTTATTTGAAAGGCAGGTACAGAGCAGGAGAGGCAGAAGCAGAAGCAGAGGTAGAGAGAGGAAGGGAGGGTGGAAGGGAGAGCATGGGAGGGAGGGGAGGAGGAGGGGGAAAGGGAGAGAGAGAATGCCTTCCATCCACTGGTTCACTCCCCAAATAGCCACAATGGCCAGGGCTGGGCCAAACCAAAGCCAGGAGCCAGGAGCTCCTTCCAGGTCTCCCATGTGGGTGCAGGGGGCCAAGGACTTCAGCCATCTTCCACTGCTCTCCTAGGCCACCAGCAGGGAGCTGGATCAGAAGCAGAGCAGCTGGGACTAGCTCCAGTGCCCATATGGAATGCCAGGGCTGCAGGCAACAGGTTAACCCACTAGGCCACAGCACTGGCCCCTGAATCATTGGGCTTTAAGACAAAGTGATGCCTATGTCTGTAAATCAAACCATTTCTGGTTCTCCTCTGCCCGCTGACAAAAGATCAGCTTTCATATCTGTTACCATTATTTTTATTGTACATTTTTGTGGGGCATGGTGTGATATTTCATTACATGAATACAATGTGTAATGATCAAACAGGGTAGTTGGCATTTCCATTTTCTTTGAACTTTTTATAAGTTTTTGATTAGCATGTGATAATGGTACATGCCTCTGTGGCACGCTAAAACAAGTACACAACGAGGAGGAATAGACAGAATTACAGGATACAGAAAACGTTTGGGTTACAACTCATTTGTACATTTGTGGATCTGCTGATTGAAAGACATTCAGTCTTCCAGGTACTTTCTGATGTAACTACTTTATTACTGAAAAGGAGTAATTGTTGACTCCAAGTAACTTGGGACATTATCAGCTATAATATCAGCACACAGATAGTACCTACAGAATAACTGCAAGAACTAACTACGACAAATCTCTTGCTTTGCTCACAGCACAAAGGAGGGGGGAGTATGATGTGTTTCAGGGAATAGAGTCTCTTTCCTCAGCGCTCTCTCAATATGGTTTCTGTATAGTATTAACTTGAAGAATGAAATGAATAAATAAATGAAATTTTCTACATAAAATTTATTTGATGCTGAGTAGAAAACACATTCAATTAAGGGCAGTAGATGCTAGAAGAATTTAACATTTCACTTATACTTAAATCGCTAATAAAAATAATATAACTACAGAAAATATAAAAAGAACATAAAGGGTATAGAGAATATAAAGAATACATCAAAAATATTACTCTAATTCTTGCTAACATTTTGGTATATTTTTTCCAATAAATTGTTCTCAATTCAGAATAGTAATACGAGTGTCTTTTATTCAAAATGGTTAGAATTAGAAGTGTTTCAGATTTTAGAGTCTTCTGGATTTTGAAACATTTAAATGGCCTTTACTATTTGAGCATCCCCAATCGCAAAATTCCAAAATTCAGAATCCTCTCAAATTGAAACAATTTGAACCTACCATTGAAGTTGAAAAACTTTCAGATTTCAGGATTACAAATGCTCAATCTGTTTTATATCTTGTTGTATGTTGCTTTTATTTCACTTGCTATTTCATAAGCAATATTTAGAATGTTTAGTTAATTAATTAGAAAAGCAGAGCGAGCGAGAGCGAGAGATCTTCTACCTGCTTTTTTTACTCCCCAGATGCCTACAAAAGCCAGGGCTGGGCCCAGCTGACACCAGGAACCAGGAACTACATCCGGGTCTTCCATGTGGATGGCAGGAACTCAAGTACTTGAGCCATCAGCTGTTGCTTCCCAGCATGTACGTTAGCGGGGAACTGGCTCTGAATTGAAGCCGGGACTCATACGGGATGCAGGGGTCCCAAGCAGGGGCTTAACCCACTTAACAACATCCACTCTCATTTAATAATTTTTTTAAGAATTTTTTAAATTTATTTGACAGATAGAGTTAGACAGTGAGAGAGAAAGACAGAGAGAAAGGTCTTCCTTCCATTGGTTCACTCCCCAAATGGCCGCTCCGGCCAGAGCTGCGCAGATCCGAAGCCAGGAGCCAGGTGCTTCTCCTGGTCTTCCATGCGGGTGCAGGGCCCAAGCACTTGGGCCATCCTCCACTGCCCTCCTAGGCCACAGCAGAGAGCTGGACTGGAAGAGGAGCAACCAGGACTAGAACCCGGTGCCCATATGGGATGCCGGCACCACAGGCGGAGGATTAACCAAGTGAGCCATGGCGATGGCCCCTCATTAAATGATTTTTAAAACCACAATTTAAAAATTATTTTAAATTATTAAGTGTATGTATTTATGGGGTACAGTGTAACAACTTAGTATCCATATATATATAATATCAGGTTAGTTGGCATTTCAAAAACATTACATTTCCAAAACATTAAAATTGTTTTAAATTTTTAAATTTAAATGGAAGAGAGATCTTCCATCCACTGATTGACTCCCCAAATACCAGCGACAGCCAGGGCTGAACCACACTGGAACCAGGAGTTCCATCCAGGTCTTTCACAGGGTTAGTAGGGACCTACATACTTGAGCTACCTCCACTGGCTTCCTAGGGTGCACATTAGCAGGAAGATGGATCAGAAGTAGAGCTAGGACTCAAACCCAGCACTCCGATATGGGATGGCAAGTGTACTACACAACACCTTAAATACCATAAAAAATGCCCAACCCCAATTGGGACATATTTATAGGGTATAGTATGATATTTCAGTAAGAATATATAATGTGTATGGATCAAATTGGGGTAATCAACATTTCCATCTCCTTATCATCACTTCATTGTTTGGATCTTTGAGTTCCTCTTATATATTTACTTATTAAAAATTGATAGGGGCCGGCGCCGCAGCTCACTAGGCTAATCCTCTGCCTGCGGCGCCGGCACCCCGGGTTCTAGTCCCGGTTGCCCCTCTTCCAGGCCAGCTCTCTGCTATGGCCTGGGAGTGCAGTGGAGGATGGCCCAAGTGCTTGGGCCCTGCACCCACATGGGAAACCAGGAGAAGCACCTGGCTCCTAGCTTTGGATCAGAGCGGTGCACTGGCCGCAGCACCCCGACTGCAGCAGCCATTGGAGGGTGAACCAACGGAAAAGGAAGACCTTTCTCTCTCTCTCTCTCACTGTCCAGTCTGCCTGTCAAAAAAAAAAAAAAATTGATAGGTAGGACTGGTTGTAGTGTAGTCGGGTTGGGCCGCAGCTGCCTGTGACATGCGCATCCCATACAGGTGCCAATTGGTATCCCGGCTGCTCCACTTCTGATCCAGTTCCCTGCTAATGGCCTGAGAAAGCAGTAGAAGATGGCCCAAGTACTTGGGCCCCTGCTACCCATGTGAGACTCAGATGAAGCTCCTTGCTCCTGGCTTCAGTCTGGCCCAGCCCCAGCCACTGTAGCTATTTGGGGAGTGAAGCAGTAGATGGAAGATCCATCGATCTTCCCTCCTACATCCCAGCCCCCCGATAACTCTGACTTTCAAAGAAATAAATAAAATCTTTTAAAAAATCGATAGGTCATTATGAACTATAGTCACCCCATTGTGCTGTAGAACTTATTTCTTTTAGCTGTGTTTTGGTACCCATTATCCAACCTTTCCCTATTCCTTCCTCATTCCCATCTTTCCCACCCTCTAATAACCACTATTCCACATTCTGGTTGACTGTTTTTCTAGCTTCCATGTAAGACAGAACATGTGGTATTTGTCTTTTAGCTTTTTGACTACAGCCATTCTAACTGGGGTGAGAGATTATCTCATGCTGGATTTGATCTGCATTTCCCTGACAGATCTTGTTGGAACATGTTATAACAAATTAGTATGAGTTCATTTTGGTGAAAAAAAAATCAAAATCTATGCATAGCTTTTACATAGTAAGCATTTTCATAAACTTTTTGAAGACCTTTCATATATATATGGATTTCAAATTTTTCCTGCACCTGAACTTAAATTTTCATAATTGCATAATTTTTTCACATCTGCATCATGAGTGCATAGAACGGAAGGCACACAGGTGTTCAATAAACATTT